ACCCAACACTCTGGATGAGCTTAAAAGGCCACTATCGAAGCATCCTGGGCCTCCATAACACCTCAGCAGTGCCACAGGCTGATTGCCTCCATTCCACACCGCATTGAAGCAGTCATTTCTGCAAAATGATTTCCGACCAAGTATTGCGTGCATATAACTGAACATAATTATTTGATGGTTGACCTTTTTTTGTAATAAAAACACTTTTCTTTTATTGGTCGGTTGAAATATGCTAATTGATTGAGATAGGGATTTTTGATTTTTCTTTACTTTTTTTGCCAAAATCATCAATATTAAAACAATAAAAGGCTTGAACTACTTCAGTTGATGTGCAATGAATCTAAACTATATGAAAGTTTAATGTTTATCAGTACATTACAGAAAATAATAAACTTTTTCACAATATGCTTATTTTTTGAGAAGGACCTGTATTTAAATAGCACCAAGTCACAACATACGTTGTCTCAGGGCTCTGTACACAAAAAGAACAATCTAAAGAAACCAGCAGGTTGTGTTGAATCACTTTATCACTGTCTCCCATCCTGAGCAAACAGTGGAGAGGAAAAACTCCCTGCTAATCAGGAAGAAACCTCTTCCTTCTCTCCTGCCCTTCCTTATCTTCCCCTGCTTTGCTGCTTGGAGCTTCTCTACATTTTTCACCTGAAACTAGAAATTATGGATATTTTTATTTTCATGGATTTGGTTAGCTGGTCTCAATAAAATTTTTGGAACAAAGCTTTTTCTTCTCCCATGGGAGAACATGTCAAAGGTGGGACCTCTGTTCTGGATATATGTCTGGATTCCGATCACTGGATTCTACACATTGGCTTGGTGGTCTCCTGGTGTTCTACAAAACAGCGTCAGTGGCTTTGCACTTTCTGGCTGACTGACCAACTGGATGGACGGCCGTATTCTAACGGCGCTCGGACATTTTGCCTTGAGCGAGCTGGACTCGTTCTGCAAACGGTTCTATTGAGGGTCGCGGGCCGGCTGTGGTCCCTGGACTTTGCTGGCCAGATGGAATTCATCTTGGAGAAAGCTGATAGATCGGCTCGGTGAAATTTGTCCACACCATTTGTCTGATTGGATTTGCCACCTTGAGATGCACAAGCTGACATTAAAGCAGATGGAAAATTGTCATCATCTGCCTGACTCTTCAGTTCCCAAAACAGCTGATTGCAGAATCTGGCTCTCCCTGACAACGGCCTTGATCTGTCGACTAAATTCTTCCTGGCTGGATCACGTCGACAAGGCTCTACCCCACACCTTCCCCCCTCCTCTCTCACCCGTTTAATCTGATTCCTGAGCATGCTGAAGGCTGCACAGAATGAACAGTTCCATCAATATTCTGAACTATGGCTGCTCTGTTCTGGGGACTGGATTCTTCGGGCCCCCTTCGGGCCCCCACTTACTCCTCTGGCTAATAAATCTGCCCTATGCAGAATTTTTTTTCTCATAAACACCATAGTGTGTTACAGTGTTAATATAATATGATGTTTTTTTTCCTCATCTTCCCTTGTGGTTTTTCTGTTTGTTTGTTTTTTCTGTTTTAAGATGGCGCCACGGTAGGCAGCCTGTTACCGCAGCTCCCCTGTTTTGAGTTGCTGTAATGTGCAAATTTCCCCATTGTGGGATCAACAAAGTTCTATCTTATCTTAAAATAAAATCTGTAAGGAAGAACAGATTACCTGATCTTATTTTCTGATTTGAGTTCTGGGTTCAGTTCTGTGATAGACAGGCTCCTGGAAAGGATGGGAGTGGGACTACTTGATTTGAGGGTTTCCTGGTCTGGATAAGTTAAAAAAAAAAAAGGGAAATGGTTTTGTTTCCATCCAGCATTTGTAAAATAAATACAAATCTAAATTTCTCAAAATTGTTGAACAAAAAAGATAAATGAACATGAGAAACATTTTCTGTAAAATGAAATAAGAAATAAAGAGTTTGTTGTAAGAGGGCCTATCTGTAATGGTCTCATTATTAAAATAAAAAATGTCAGTTTATATGAATTTGTAAGATCTTCAAGATGTTTTGGCTTGTCAAAAACATATTTTCTCAAAAATTGTTGAAAAAAACCCATCATTATTTAAAAAAAAATAATTCTCCATCACAGTTAAGTTTATCCTCCCATGGTTCATTTTAAGGTCAATAAAATAAATTTAATCAGAGAACACTTCTCACATCTAACAGAAACTAAACTGCAATAAACAAATTAAATACATTTACACATGTTTTATGTTAAAAGTGCTCAAATATCACCAACGCAAAAGAAAATCTGGGTTTGAAAATTTAAAAAATGTGTATGATATGCCACAAAAACAAACTTCTTTAGCTGATTATAAATCTTAACCTTTTCCTGTGATGTGAGCTTAGCTTACCTTCCATGGCAGACCCAAAGGAACCAGAGCTACATCAGGCTGGTTTCTCATTATAACAGGATGTTACTGTGTCACTGCCTCTCGAGGCTCAGAGGCAAAACAGCCACAGTCAGGGTGTAATAAATAAAATAATAAGAGTGAAACCAACACAGAGATTAATGCAGATTAAAATATACTTAAAATATTACCAAAAAATGCAGTTAGCTTGTATATCTGTAAATGTTTATTTCAGATACATGTTGACAAAAACTTTGAAATACATTTTATGCATAAATTGTGCAAAAAAATTACCTGGACCAGGTGGGTGTGTCACACTGACCCCCACTTCTTAGCGTGATGTCACACCCCATATATGGAAGTGAAGTTCTGTTTCCAAAAGTTTGTGTAACTTTTGAACATTTTCCACAGATGTATTAATTTTTTATGTCTGTCATTTTTCAGTGGATGAYAAATGGTGTGTTGGACTTTAAACTGGCTGCTGTCTGCTCTGATGTAAACACTGTTTAAAGTGTAATTTGAAGTATATTTGTTATGTTTTCTAGTACTAAATTGGTATCTAAATTCTGTGCCAGTAATTAGACTTTTCAGATGTATAAGTATTTAAAAATATTTTCACTCAAAACTTCTTTTTTATTTGTTATTAACGTGACTGAAGACCAGTCAAACACATTTGATAAAACTGTAACAGACTTTCTGAAATCCTGTTCTGGGTGTGCCCACATACAAACCTTTTTGGAGCCGCCCCTGTGGACAGATAAGCCTTTTTTTAGAAGAAGAATATTATCAGCAGTGGTGGGCACCAGCCCGCTAAAGCGCAAATCTGCTAATTGCGGACCTAAATATTTCATTTACGCTTTAGCGATATTACTAATTTTTATAATTCATAAGCGGATTTGCGCTTTCTAAAATTAAAACACAGTACCGCTAATAACTAATTATCCACCAGTCATCAGTCCAGTCAGCAGTCCCAGTCCCCAGTCCCAGATAAAACACACTTATTGAGAAGGTATACATCCTGCTGACTGTTGCTTTAGGCCATGGTTCTCATTTCCCACAATGCATTGTGTCTGCTTACGTAGCAGGAAGGCAATAGCAAAAACAGTAAACGTTTGTAATCCATACTAAAATTTTGTATGTATTGGTCGAAGCAATGAGGTTAGAGACTCAGAAATGATTTGAAGATGTTATGCTGATGAAGACTGATATCTAGTGGTCAATTGGACCAACTGTGCTTTTGTTTCCCGTCACAAATCAAATCCGTCATGTACCCAGAATGCATCGCTTCAGTTTTCCAATAAACAGTTTTAAAATTACTTTATTGATGCTTCTTTAATGAAAAACTACAACAAACAAAAGAAATAGACAAAGAAGCAGCCGAACTAGCAATCCTCAACAACTTTTTAAATTTTTAAACCAGGAGCCAAAGGTCTGTTTCAGGAAATCACATCCCCAGCAATCAGCAGTTGTAGGATTAAGCTGTTAAAGGGTATATAAACTGTTAGTTGGCAGTGTTGTGCATATGTTGTACATGAATTGCCAGCTATTGTCAAATTGAACTTGTGCTTTAAAATTAGCTTCTGCTAATTTTTCTATAGCATAAGTGCTTTTGAAGTTACAGACCTAAATAGTTTCATAAACCCTTTAGAAGTTGTGCAACTAATTGTTGGATTAATGTTGCCCACCACTGATTATCAATATCATTAAAAAATATTGAACCAAAAATACGAAAAATCAATGAAATGTTCTGTTAAAAACCCAGTTGTCATTGTAGAAATGTTGATCCGCTTTAACTATATTTTGTGTTCTGTTAATAATCAGTTCATCATGTGTTCAAAGTTTTCAAAATAAGTAATCTTTATAATTGATCTATGTAATGACCTGTTTTACTTTCACTGTGTGTGTCACTCTGGTCAAAAATATGTTTGGTGATCGGGGTCAGGGTCCAGTTTCCTCGCCCACTTACTGTGCAAATATGTGTCAGGCTGACATCRGAATCCTGTGCAGGTTGCTCAGAAATTACATAAGGCTTCAGTATAAAATGTCAAGAGTTACAGAAGTTAGACGAGACGCTTGACGATCGAAGGGAAGTATCGGTCTGGTGTTCTCACAGATTTGCAAATCTGTTCGGTGGGTTTTCACATGTAATCTTTAATAAATTCTGTTAAATTATTTAAGGTGTCACCTACTAATCTCTCCAAAATCCCAACAGACCCGGGTAAGAGCGACTCGGTTCTTAACATCATTCCTCAAACTTTTGGCCGTGTCCTTTTACCCTCTTAGTACCATGTGTACCCTGTTTTCTTAGAGTGTGGGGATGTTCGTGACAAGTGCTGCTGAATGCAGAGTGTGCAGTAAATCAGGACGTCCTGCTTTACACTGCGGACACGCAGGTAAAAGCTGTGCTTTTGTACCTTCTATGGTTCACTGCCGGAGTGTAAAGAGAGACTTTTACAAAAATAAAAATAGAAATGCAGTTTTCATCTCATCATTTGTAAAAGGAAGCAGCTCTGCTCTCCGTGTATAATTTGTGCGCGTAAACGGCGTGTAAACGGCTCCTCAGCCAATGCGKGTCCATCTGCTCTCACCGCATCAGCTGCCGCCACACGGCTGCGCGGACGTCACACATTTTTCTCTTTCCTCACCTTCTCCTRTCCGTCTCTTTCCCTCTCCCCCTCTCTCCTGTCTTCTTGTTCCAGCAGAGCATCTCTCTCCTGCTGCTTTCCCTCCTCCTCCACCGCCCACTTCTTCCCAACCATTGAGCCGACCACTCACCGCCGGCTCCTCGCCTCATCGCTGCGCGCTTTGCTGCCTCTTTTTTTCCTTCCTCCCCTCCTTTTTTTCTTTTCTTTTTTTTTAATTTGAAGGGCGGAGAACCGGCACTTTTTTTTCCTTATCGGGACCAAATCACCCTGAACACCATGGCGAGCACCGAGGATAAAGCTGCCAGCAAGGAGAACACGTCCAGCTGGAAGGACTCCATCTACAACCCGAGGACCGGGGAGCTGCTGGGTCGGACGGCCAGCAGCTGGGGTAAGGAAGGAGCTCATTCCTCTGCAGCCGATCAGGGTCACACTGATGTCCTCTGCCTGTCAGTGTCACCTGTGCCTGCCTCTGCCCAGCCTGCTGCTTCAGATGACTGTCATCGTGCAGGTGGGGAGTTAGCTGAGGAGGTATCATGGGGCCTACATGAAGCCKGCACCAAGAGTAGGGTGACTGATGCTTCCAGAAGGTGTGCCCCGGTCTCCTCTTGCTGCATGAGTGGTTCCCAGCAGCAGAGATGATTGTTTGTAGTAAAGAAACCTTATGTAATGTGCATTCACAGAGCAGACCCTCCCCCAGCTGCTTCCATCAGATCTGAGGACTCTGCTGCTGCAGTCCCAGATCTACCGCTGATCAGGATGTAGATTTTTTTATGTAATGATGGTTTCAGAGTGAGGTGGTAACACGCCACCCTCCCTCCCTTTCCCCCGCAGCCCGCTCCTATAGGCTCAGTCAGGCTGCCTGGGCCCCCTTGCTGCTGTGCAGTGGGATGCTCCATTGCAGTTCCATGGCCGCCCGCATTAGCATGCCTGTCAAGGTCAAATGGGATTCCCCTCTCCCTTCTTTCTCCTTCTTTCATGCACTAGGCAGGTGCATTGTGGGATACCACTGTAGAGGAATGTAAAAAAAAAAAGATGGTGTATGGTGGGTGCACCCTTTTCTCTGTTAGAGGGCATCAAGTGTTGTACCGGCCGGATGGTGGTGAACCATTTAGAGCTGCTCTGGCATGTGCCTGCATCGTTTAAAAATGTGTGTGGAGGGTGGTGGTGGGGGGTCTACCATGAAGAAACTCTTTAGATTAGTTAGAAATAGGGGTGGTAGTCTTTAGGCACCTCATGGTTCAATTCAGATGGGTTGAAATGTCACTATAAGATGATCATAGATGCATCACACCTCCTGAGCAGAGCATCTGTCAGACCTAAAGAAAAAAAATCTGAATAAAAATATACAGATTTTTGCTCCACGTGGCAGAATTTTATTCAAGCAAGATTTTGGGAGTCAAAATGTCGATACAGTGACTTCAGACTGCAGTGGATGTTTGTGTAGCTCACTTCCTTCATGGTTTCAAACACTTTGGTTTCAGACTGATTGTAAATTTTAAGAGTTGCTGGTTGGACGCCTTTGACATGTCATTATCTTCTATCATGACTCCAAAGTGCAAGACATGCTGCAAAAGCCCTGGCTTTCAACCACTGAATCTGGACATAAATCCTTCAAAATAAAAGTTGCAATGAACTTTGTAATTGACTTTTCCTTTTCAAGATGGCAGCTTTGATGTTGCTCGCTCAGTGGTCCTCTGGTTAGACGGGGCAGGATCGGGCTGTCATGGGATTATAAAGAATCGTGGATGCCTAAGCTTAGAATTTATGACTTAAAAGAAACTAAATATTTTTGCTCTACACTGTGGCATAAAATAGTTTTCATTCAAATAAGWTTTTGAGAAACAAACACAGAAACCCGGAGTCATCATGTGGAGGGATTGGTGCATTGCTGATTGATTCTGTGCCAATCAGAGATGTACCAATACAAGAATCCAGCTTTAGTTGTCTGAACACTCCCTGTGCACACTTGTTGCACATTCAACATGCAACTTAAATACATGGAAAGGACCACATTTATTTATTGTTTTGACACTACCAGAGGGCCACATGTTGCTGCACACTTACCCAAATTTAATAAAACRGCCATTTTAAAGTGTTTGTGCATATATATTGTATATTTATTAAACCAACATTACTGTCCAGTAACTTCACAATCATGCTCAAAACTGCATGTATAACACTTGTACTCTATGTAATACAAAACGTTTGAAGCAAACAAAAAATAAAAACTTACTATAGTGTGCTGAAGTGCAACGGCATTAGACGTCTTGAGTGCAGACTCCTGGTGGTTCTGGTTAAAGTTTTTGTTGTTTACTTGTGACTTCAGTAAACTTCTCAAATTTACCTTTGTGCAACATGTTGTAGTGGCGACTTATATTAAACTCCTTCATGGCAGACAGCATCTCTAAACTCCACCAGTTGCCTATCCCTGAGCTAGTCTCAAAGAGCAGAAGAAGGCCTGGGAATAAACAAATCTGAGCACAAACTTCTCAAAAACCTCACRAGTGTCCGAGCTCCGTTTGAGGAGTTGACTCAAAAACTGAGTTTCTCACATTTTCAAAAACACTTTCAGAAGTTTAACGGTGTTTATTCATATAAAAAATTGTTAAAAATCCAAGTGTCAGTGTAAAAATGTGGTATTGGTGCATCCTTGGTGCCAGTGGATGTCCACGCCTTACAGGTTGGAGCTTTCTGCAGTGTTTCCACCACATGGATGCACGAGGAAACATACGACGATCATGTGTGGCTTCAAAAGGCACAACACAAGGTTTACATTGACTGAATGTGAACTTTATGATTCACTTGTCTTTTTATGAATTAGGCAAAAATTATGATATTGCCTCCTCATCCAATCATCCTGTGGTTACCAGTGGTTATTTTAAAAAAGTAAAATGTTTTGTCTCGTCTCTAAGAGACTTCTTCAGTCTCAGGAGTTGCAGGAAAACTCCTTATAAGCAATAGGGCAGACCGGGGACAGTAGCAACAAGGGACAGTTGCAACACGTCATTTTTCTCCAAACAGAAACAAGCTAGAGTGATGACACTCACACTGTACATCCTCAGTTAGATGCCCCACCTTGCAAAGTAAGCAGATTCAAAAACTGTCCCAGGATTTATTTAAAAGAACTGTTTTTGAAGTACCAAAGTATTTTTTTGCYTAGTTTTATTTTTGTTATACTGTTGTCACTGTTTCTGTGATCCAGCTCAAACTTATATGGTTTAAACAAATGATATGTTGACTTTTAACTAATGTTGTTAACATGTATCAAGATCAGTTTATTTAGCTAACACATGAGGTTTTATCATGGCTGACAGGAATACGATAAATCCATATAAAAACAGAGCATAAAGATGATATTAAGATGTTGAAATTAAGTTTACACTTAAAAGGGTATTGCACAATTACATAGTTTAAAACATAAAAGTGTTTAAGATGTATTTTCTGCAGTTGTTTTTTTTTTCAACAATGGTTTTAAAACACCAGTTTCTTTCAATGTAAATTATGCATAATGTAGGCGTACAGTGACAACAGGCAAAACAAAAGTTAATTGCCTCACAAATTGATCTATTAATCTTGTCTCTTAAGTCAACTGTATTTTATATCAGAGTCTTTGACATCTGTATGTAAGGTCTACTCTATATTCATCATTTGATCAAAAAGAATAAATAAATAACACTGTAATATTATAACTTGCAGTTTTTTAATTTAGCAATAATATAAATTTAAAAATAATCAAACTTTTATTTACAGTGAAATATATTGTATTAATAATATGTTGCAACCACCCCAAAACAATGTTGTAACTGTCCCCGGCCCCAGGGTCAATTGCAACATTTGACTTTTCATTTTCAAATGCAAATTGTGAAGAATGTACATGCTTTAATCACGTATAAATGGTTTTGACTATTAACAGACAGATGTAAGTTTATTGTATTAAAATTTGGTTTGTCTAATTCAAACCTTCTCTGAGTAAACAGTCAAATGTAAAAAAGTGTTGCAACTGTCCCCGGTCCCCTACTTTCTCATGGTGAACAAACATGTTTGAAGTTGACAATTTAACAATGACCTCAACCTTTTATTGTTTTCTACCTGGATTARTGAGATGCATCAGGACACTTACCAGTGGTCAGTTGCTACCACTGGCTGATTTGTGGAAGCACATCCATAACTTACACAGTGTGGCTCTCATCAGCGTCATTTTTTAACCTTTTTTTTACCTTTTTAGAAACACTTGCTAACACTGGAGCAGAAGGAGCTGTGCATGTCTGAGTCAGCCATCTTATTAAAGTGTCTCTGTTGTGTGTTATGAAACGTCAGAAACACTGCACTCCAGAGTTTTGCCTTTGCACTTCTCTACATGAAAATATACATAAAAGTCGCTTGTTGACATTTAACAATTGATCCACAATGCCTGTATTGTGATGCATCGAAAATAGATTATAACCCCTCATCCCTTGTTAGGACTGGGTACTGTCTCCTGCTTTTGATGGTTGTTCTCATCAGCTCAACTATGAGGTAGATATTCGATCAGACATTGGTGGTTAATGCTCACCAGCCCTGTTCTTGTTCTCGGTACAGCCCTCATCCTGCTCTTCTACTTGGTGTTCTACTGTTTCCTGGCTGGTATGTTCGCCCTGACCATGTGGGTCATGCTGCTCACTCTGGATGACTACGTGCCGAGGTACAGAGACCGTATCCCCAATCCAGGTGAGTGTCTCTCTCCGCATCACCACACGTGACCAATGATTGTCCACATGGAATGGCAATGTTAGTTTTATATGCATTCATTATTCATACTGCTTCAACTTAGATGCTGTCACAACAACATGCTACATTACAGCAGCTCTTTGCATTGATCTGTTTGGATGTCTACTTCCTGACTTTTATTGGCAGTGGGAAAAGCTCTCAGGAGGATGTATTTTTCCAAGACATACTTGCGTAGCTGTGCTTTGGTTTCCATTGACGTGCTCACTTCCCTCCTGTTTACTTCACTTGGTGTTATGTTGCAGGACTGGTGATTCGTCCAGATTCATTGGATATCTCCTTCAACAAATCTGATCCTCTAAAGTACGCTCAGTATGTAAAACACCTGGAGTCCTTCCTTAAATGTAAGTGCATCTTGTTTTAAGTAAGACCTCCTTGAAGGTATACATATTGCCTGCTGTCTTCTCATGCTTTAGAGTTTCAGACTAATGTCTTGTTGAAAAATAACAGTTGTAGCTTGTAAAGTTGTAACGTTACACCCATCACCCTCATACTACTTCTACCTTATTAAACTTTAGCACAAACATCAAACGATTATTTCATGAAAGATTCATTAGAGTAACTTACCCCAAAATTAACTTTTTTAGCTGATAAACTGTCTAGAATGTGTCTAAAATGTTATATACTTCTGTTTCTTTCCTAATTTTGATGTTTTTGTGCGTATTTGTTCAAATCTGTAATATTTGGTCTAAAAACGTGTTTTTGCTGCTCATATGGGTAGAGCAGTGGTACTGCAGGCTAATTTGCGTATTGGTTAACGGCTCTCCGTTGTGACGTGCTTCTCCATGGTTTCGTCACAGTGGCTGTGCTCTGGTATAAAAGCCTTTCTCAAAGACACGCCCCTGCAGCAGTCAGACGGTGGAACAGTTAGCAAGCTTAGCATGATCGTCTGTTGACCTTCAGCCTTGGGTGGGGAGAGCTGACTGCTGCGCTGCTCTCTCTCTCTGTCTGTCCGTCCCCCCACCACACACACCAGCAGTACGTCCTGCACAGCGGAGGGGAGGAGGGGAAAAAAAAGGCAGAAAAACAGCGGGGCAGCTGCAGCCCTAACG